TTTTCCATAAAACCGCCAGGGAGAGAAAGAAGACAGCAAGAGAAGGGCAGTAATAGTTAATAAGAAAATACTCATGGTTCAATGAAAAGTAAATACCCAAACGCATACGTAATCGAATAAAACATAAATAAAAATACGAAACAAAAGCATTCCCATGTTCTCACTGGGATCGAAAGGCAAACCTTTTTTCCCCGAATATCCAATAAATGTTTAATTTATTGTTCGTGTTTCCATTTAATAAAAGCCTGAGGTTAATTACATTCATTAATTATAATATTTTGTTTCTTATTTGAGTTGTTTGATATCGGATGCGTAAAAGAAAGTAAAGTTTCCTTTTCCAGTAAAGCGCATACTCTTCTAAACATCAATACCATTTCTAAAATCCAGCAGAAAATATTCTACTTGTGCAATAAAAATCTATACTGTAAATATCTGTTTGTAAGTGAAAAAATCAGCGTTGAAACGCAATCACTGAAGCAAAATTATTGCTTTAGGTTACATTTTGAAAGTAGATGATCGTATATATTTTATAAACAGAATAACAATCGGCTATGATATTCAAAAGCACTTCCAAATGAATTTTGAATGTTTAAAACGGTCACCTTAGTAACTATTTACGATGGAACATCTGTGTGAAAGAACTAGGTCTGAGCAAAATCAGTAAGTTATTTGCAGAAATTTAGGCTGTATTTCAACTGACTGATATGTGGTTTTATTGCATTCTATATTCATATTTTCAAAATGCAATAGTTTCTTCTTAAAAGTATTAATTGCAAGATCGTTTAGCTGATGTAAACGATCTTGCTTGATCTCTATCTCTTTTATGAAGTTTGAGAATCTAATAAGAAATATTATTAAATGATATATTAAAACGTAGAGGGATACAAATTTAGTTCAAGTATGTAATCCTATGTTTATTTATTTACCAATTTAAGTGATATAATCGTATAGAATGTCTCTAAAGTTTTATTTTTTGTTACTGTATATTCTAAAATACTAGATGTGATTTAAACGTTTTATCTAGGACTAGGAATATAATATCCTACTTAAGGATTTCTTTTAAATAGAATGCTTGCTGCATATACGGGAGTTATAATGAGCCCTGCAATACCTACTATAGTCACAGGTGAGAGATGTACAGGAAAAACGTGTACACTTCATCGAGACAAACAGCAAAATTTGCTTATTTTTATGATATTAGAGATCTGTATTTTATTTAATCCTTGAATACTTAAGTTCGCTAAAAGTGCGTCAATAATTATTTTCTTTATAGTTTTTCTCTAGTTGTTCTTCCTCATATTATACAGGTGTTTACGTAATGCAGACTTCTTAAGCTACATACTTTATTTCTTAATATATTATCCGTAGAAATACGCTTATAATTACAAAGTTCCTAAAAATAAAGAATATAATAAGCATTTGAGCTGCAGAGCAGAATGACTTTGTTAATACAAAAATATATCTTTTGTAAGCTTCTTATACAATAAGAATCCAATTGGTAAAATGTCAACAACAGTTTAATAATATAAAATTATTTTACTGAATTATTTTAGAACTTCATAGCAAATAAATAAACGGTTATCCAATTTCGTTATGCTTGAAAACGTAAACTTAGAAGGTACTCAGCTTTGGCGAATGTCTAGAGACAGGCGAAAACCAGAGGACTCAAAATAAAACGACTCCTAAAGTTAGATGTCAGTAACATGGGGTTGAAATTTAAGACTGAAATGGGTGACGCATTAATTATTGTTTTCATAGATCTTCCTTTCTATATTGCTGCCACATTTTGATAGAGATATTTCTCACAAATACGATCGGTTTTTTAGGAAATTTTGACTAAGTATTATCGCTAAATACTGCAATAATAGCCTCTGGCAATGAGACAGACAACTTTCTTTTTAAAAGATGTATTTATCGCTGTATTTATTCACTGTAACACTAGCTAGCTTCCTAATGTGTCCAATTAAATCACAAGGTCAATAAAGAAACAAGGTTAGGCTTTTGACCGTGCTGACGTCACTTACTTACAAAAGTGGGAAAAACGAAGACTAAAATGGAGTGAGTAGAAAAGAAGCTACTTTTAATAGACTAGAATTCTGTGACTTCGTGCAAGAGCAAATTTTCTAATATAGTAAGTAGACTTGGTAAGTCCTTCCAGTTATGCATCGATATCTGCCGTATAAAGAAAGCCGGTTACATCGAGTGCTAAGGGTCAAAAGAGCACGTATTACTGACGTAGGTTACATTGCCGCACATCTCATGTATAAATGTGATTACGTGTTTGATTAAATCTGAAAGAAATTATAAAATAAAAGTTCCTATTTTGGTTCCTATTTGGTGAAGAATAGTTTTTATGTTAGGTAGGCAGAGATTGTTATTACCTTTGCAGTAACCTGTGAAACGCGAAATGAATGTGCAAACTGTGTATAGAAATGTATTTAATTTACGTAAGCATAATGCGTATTTAAATGATTAAACTTCTTGTCCAGCGGAAACCACAAGGAAAGAATTAATGTTTCATTGTTTATTGAGCTATTTTTCCTCCAGTACTCAAACTTTATTTATAAACTACTGAATCTTATTTTGAGTACGTTTGCAACGTTGCACATGAACTTCATAACCAACAGTATTATTTAAAAGTGCTTATTTCAAATTTGAAGCTAACTTTTCTTAATTTCATGTATAATTTATATGATAACAAATGTTATTTTTTGATTTTATTTTGTTCTTATCACGAAATACTATTTGTTTGCTCGGTGAAATACACCTCTTCGTTTTAGCTCTCGTGTCAATCCTAAAATCTACCAAAATGTGATCTAAAAGGAAATCCTTAAATAACAGGTTCACATTAAGTACAGCTATAAACTGCGTCACATTAAAAGCATTTTATATGTGCTAAATTAGCTTTATATGGTAACTTGCTAATATAAAATAAACCGCTATTTTGATACAAAAATATTTATTTTCTTTTGGCAAATAAAATAAAAGAGTACTTCGATAACTTAAGCATAACTAGTTAATGTTAATGAAGAGTTTAACAAGAAGAAAAAAATACTTGCTTACTATACTCTTAAAAAGGGAATAGCTACTACAGCCAAGTTCCACAATTGCTTAATATAAAGAAATTTTCAAGTATATAAGATTAGTTAAATGATTATACCTGTGCAATAAAGAAAGAAATTATTTTATATTTAAAAAATCTGATGTGTACACCACATGATTTCCTTGTACGGAATATTAAATTATACGCATTTGTTTCTTGCATTTCTTTTAAACTTATTCGATTTAATTAAATCTACTTCGCCGACATCGCATAAACCACAATAGAATAAAGGCATTCTTTAAAATTCAAGTATTTGTTTAACATAGCGACACTCTGCACTAGGTTCACTTAACAGTATTATATTTCATTCATATTATAACTCAGAATGCACAAAATGTATATCATTTAAAGAATTATCTAATCGTTGCCACATGTTCTTTTCAAATACTATAAAATAAGCTAGAACGATGTAAAAAAGAAATTAAGCAAACAAAACAAAAAAGAAAACAGTTTTTCACAGGACGATTGAGTATTTCTCATTCAATTAATTCAGATTTCACTTCGCGACAAGACAAAAATACATAAAAAGCTCAAAATATCTGTATTAAAATTATTAATTATTAAAAATTAGTTACTAATTATTAAAAAATAAGTAAATCTTAAATACTTATTTCCTCGAAAAAAATTCCAGAAAGGATTAAGCATGATTGAATTCGCAATAATAAATGAAGGCGTTATTTTTGTTGTTGCGAAGCTTAGTCTCTCTAGATTGGCAACAAATCTACAATTCTGCTGTTTCAAATGTAAACAAATATGTCCGCCATGTTATTTAAAACTTAACCGCACTTAAACAGCTTTTAAATTGTTGATAATTGTACAAATATTGCTTCCAGAATTACGAAAGGCATAAAAACCTTACTTTACTTTGTTACTTTACTTTGTTAACTTACCCTTACTTACTTTGCTTACTTAACCGGAAGATAAGGACAACATAATTCAATCATTTTTAAAGCAAAAAAATGTACAATTTACAAACATATAAAAGTAAAGAAACTAAGATCACTGTGCCGAGTAACAGAGTGGATATATATATAAATATAGTATTTATATACGTTTGGTGCGGCCGATTGCAACCAAAATACGAGGTGCACATCTACATGTTATAGCAGTCCTATATACAAAATTTCAACGTTCTGAGCCTACTCGTTTTTGAGTTATGCGAGATACGTACGTACGTAGGCACGTACGTACATACTTTCGTACAGACGGCACGAAAAATTCTCTTCAGAATTAATTTTAAAGCAGTTTTATAATTTTTTTGGAGGAAACGAGTTTTTATTTTGTCCTTACGTACAGATATCACGCAAAAACATCGTTAAATTGCATTCGATAGCGGTCAAAATGGATATTTTCGTTGAAATATGCTGCCTGAAACTTTTCGCGATTACAATACTTCCTTTTTATTTCGTACAAGGAAGTAAAAAGACTGATTGCTTGGAAATTGTGTTGAGAGATTTTACGATTTTTTGCAAATTTGCTATCAGTGACAATGCTGAAAAATGTGTAACAGGAAATTTACATTTTACATTATAATCAGGACTTTAGGCTTTAGTCTCACTAGTATAAGAGAGTCGTAAAATATGGTTACTGTTGCAGTTTAAGAAAATCAAAATTTTTTTAAGTAGATACTCTTAAGAATTTCCTCGTAATCTACGAACATTATTTACAATTAGAAATAATATCATAATAAACATAATAAATTACGTGGAATAGCAAAATATTTCCGAACTTTTTTTATCACTTTCAGATTACATATTTACATGTAAATTACATCTATTTTGCATTCTTCCCTTCGGTGAGCTTTTTAAATTCTGTTTTGAATGCTGCGTTACAATTTATCAGCTATTTTACTTTTACAAATCTATTCGTATTAATTTTATTATGAAAAATATTTCAGGTTAGCACATAGAAGCAAGATTTGCTGTCTAGAAGACGCTGCCTCCACTCAAGTATCAAAAGAAGTGACATCTGGTGTTCAAGTACTTTTGCATTTAATTAATGATGTCTTTTATTTCTCTTAAATAACTATTGTGGAAATAAATATTGCTCTTATGCTTGTATGGTATCATGGTTATGCTCTTTAAAAATCATAGGTACAGACAAAGTATTACATAGAGAAAATACACAGACAAAATATGCAAGAATTTTAGCACAATATTCCTGCCAATAATAATTTAAATTTTCATTTCACAGCAGGTTTTTTTAAGTGCTTGAATATATTTATATATTAATTAACACAACTGATGTAATACATTTACTGCATAGATTTTGTTGAAGCATGGAAGTAACTTTCACCTTTCAAACCATAAGATTCCATTTTTCCTGTAGAGAACTGCTAAAAAAGTAAAATATGAAATATTATCTCTTTCTTTTACGAATTGCTTACTTACTTACTTATTTAATTACTGTAAAGAACACAAGGGCTATCTGCCTAAGAGGATGGATGCCTTCGGGAAGGACTTCTTAATAGAAACTGATTCGCATACACGTTACACATGGGTAAAATCGCGAAAATGACCATGCAGCCAGGGATTTCGCCTGGGATTCGAACCCAAATCGAACTACCAGTATTCAGCGAATTTACCGCTCGGATATTGGTGGTCCTTTTATCTAATTTCTGAAGGAGCAACTATGCAATAATCACAATCTTTAATATATTCATAATTCTTTTTAGAAAGGAGTTGCACCATTTTCATTATTTCGGACAAAAAATTAAAGCGAACATATAATTCTAAATATATCTAAAGGTTTAAGCACACATGAAATAGAAAAAAAAATGATCATTAGATATGTTGTAATAAATCAGTGTTGAAATCTAATATGCATTTTATCTGAGACATTTAGGATATTTATGCCACCTAGAACGAGACAAAATTTAATTTACTTATGATATTATTATAACTTTATCCTTTTACACTATTATGAAAACAGAGAAAAATGGCAATACATGCGCGAACTAAAGTTTTTTAACCTGTCCAGAGGAGATAAATTTATATACGCTAAACGTAATTACTATCAAAAAACGAAATTTTAATGACCTTCTTTTTTTATTCCATGTCCCTAATCATTTCTCAAAGCTCAGTTTTTTTCATCACTTTCTCTATACAGGCATTTCTGTTTTAATTTTTTTTCCTTTCCCTAAAATAGATTATTTTTCACTTTCATAATTATTTTCTCATTCAGATTAAGGGTTTTTTTTATATAAGACATTTCTCCATTTTCTTTCTCAGGCTTTTATTTCCCATGCTAACTCCAGAGTTACACGGTTTTCTTAATTAGTAAGTATTGGTTTCGGGCATTCATATTTTATGGAAGGAAAAATACTGTTTTTATATAGAATATTCGAATTACAATCACTGTCAAATTTCATAAGAAATCAATAATTTCAAATCAATTTTCAAAGTAAAGAATTCAAAATGTTGGTAATATTTTACAAGAATGGTTTTAAGGGATTTTTTTTTATTTAAATATCGAACATATTTGTAAAATAGAAATAATAAAATATATATATATAAATATATTATATAAAATATATATATATAAATATATATATATAAATGTCGAATATAATATATATAAATATCGAATACATATATACAAATATCGAATATAATATATAAAAAAAAATTCTAACAATATAATATAATATAATGAATCGAACAATATAATATAATGTAAGTATCGAAATAATATATTATATATAAATATCGAACATATATAACATTTAACATATTTTGTTGAATTACTTGTTGTTTCATAATCTGTTGTCAAATATCCAAGACGGAATGCAGCCGTTTCAAGAATTGAATAAAAATTTAGCCCGCTCCTACAAAAGTATGTTTCACATAAACGCCAAACTATAATTTATTGCAATTTAGCACAATTTTTCAATCATCTACGAAATAATCTACGAAGAAATCATCTAGGCATTGGTATTTATGTAAACAGAGTAAAAAAAAAAAAACTTGAGATTTCACTTTTAATGTCTGGAATGTGCGCCTTACAATTAATACCAGCGGGCAACACCGCTAGATAAGTGGGCTGCGGCCAAAGAAAAATTTATATATTCTGTTGAGACCTGAAAAGAAAATGCATGAAACCTTTTCAGTAGGAACGAAATCAGTTCATTCTTTCCAAGCTATAACCAATTCGTTTTTTTTTTTTTTTTTTTTTTTTGTCTGAAAGCAAGGAAAGAAAAATTTATAACACTTTAGGTACACGGATGACGTCAAGATTTTTTTAAATTTAATATAATAATTTTCCCAATATCATTAAAATAATGGACGTGTCAATAACACGTCTTGTCAGCTGTCATAACATGAAACAGAAAAGTTGTCAACAGAAGCTATTCACTTAAAATGCTGACATTAACGAAACATTTTCGACATACAATGACGTCTCATGCAATCGCGTGCTTTCTTCAACGTCAGAATATGACTTTATATAACACAGGTTTAATGTTTGGCAATGCTATTTTTATTTCATATTTTGTAAAACTGAAAACAGTTTTTATAACTCGCTGTACGATTTGAAAGCGAGCAGTGGAAACGCTTTTTGAAATATGACAGATTTTTTTTTAATGCCCAGAGCGCAAGACTGTTGCCACTCGGAAAAAATGAATGCGGAAATTAGCATTTTCAGAGTTTTTAAATTAATATCTCCGCTAGCTCAAATCGTAGAAAAATGAGAGTGCTCGAAATTGTCCGGAACATGCCAATTTCTAGCATTATGCAATATATCCTGCCCAAGAAAACACTAATGTAAGTTTTTCTCCTCGTTGATCAAAGCATAGGCCCATAATTTTCGTTCGCTACAAAAAGTAGTAAAAGGCTAAGTAGTTAACAGAATTTGACTCCTCTGCCGTTTAGTAATTTAAATATACACGGTTCCATATTTACTGTTTAAGTCGATTTGAACTTTTTCATCAGCATTAAAAGCATTTAGCTTAAATCAGGTTCAAATTGAACATAAGGCACGAAGTAAATACGATAGAAATTAATTTTCTTCGAACAGTTATAGAACAGTTGTTGCCATATTGTAATACGCTGTTTTGATATCCTGAAAAGAAATCTTGCACCTTAAAATTTCCGAACAATAGTAACAACTTCATTTAATTCTTTTTAACAGTGTGGGTTTAGATAATTAGGGAACTGTTCATTCATACTATGAGAGTCTTAAGGAAGATGTCAATATTGCCATTTATCATATATAGAAATAAGCTTCTGCCTTAATTATTTAAATTGATCGAAACTATGTTGAAGACATTTTAAGCAGACACACGTTATGGAATATGATATCATTCATAATGAAATCGGGCCGCGGTTTCTTTATAAATATAATATATAAGCAGCGATCCAAAACGGTTTATATCTGACATCCACTTCCTTTTCAACACTTTTTGTCTTACGATTAAACCTTTTACAGTTTCATGCCCATTTCTCGATGGTTTATGAGTCTGAATATGCTTCTAAAAATATGCTGCATACTTTATAACACTCAGATTGGTTTTTGATAGTACTAATATTTAAATACAGAAAATGTATAAAATAAAATTTTGGTTCCTGTCAGATAAACCAAAATCATCAGTGTGTATCAGTTATTTTTGAATGAAATATTTTTCACATCAACTAGGCTCGAGATCAAGACTTGGCTATCTCAGCCGTTTCATTTCAGCTTATCTCTGTATTTAAAAGTTTGAAAAGTTTTTACTTATCCCTGATATAAACTATTATCCATTATGTTTATATCTATTATCCATTATCTATATACATAAATAAAAAATTCCGTATAGGTCCCACTAAAGTAAATCAAATTCATGATCAATAAAAATGCTGTATAATTTGTCATAAAGTACATAATCAGAAATTTGCAAATGGTGTTGCAATACAATGATATCCTAGATGGAACCAGATTATTCTATATACCAACAACTAAATGCATTTGTGTTGTGAAAAAATATAAACCAAGTATAAATTAATTTAGTCCAGTTTACCCAGTGTAAATAAAGCAAACAAATTAAGTAAAATTAAATATCTAACGTTTATTAAAACGTCAATTATTTCATCAAGGTTACAGATGGGATTTACATGGTTCGGTGGCATGATTCTATCATATTTTGGTTGTAGAATGAGTAAATAACGTACTTTTTTTTTTCCAACAAAGTACAGACAAAAACCAAATGGGATAAAAGGGTGCCCCCTTCTTGAAATTATATAAGTTTGTAGAGACATTAGGTTATTTCGAAGCAGGAGACAGGAAAATTGAGCAATACCCTCACCGAGACTAGAACCACGGACCTCTCGAATACGCGTTGAGCGTGCTGACCACTACACTACGAAGGCATACTAAGAAGGCGGGGAGAAGTACCTTATATACTCCCCCCTTTTAAAGGGCGACTGGGGTTTTAGGTGACCCAATCGCCAAATCCTGGTGGTGAAGAATCATCATTCACCACTTCTCTCAGTTCGGGCGCCATTGTAGGACTGCTGACCCTTCTAATTGCCTTTGGAAACATTCACTAATCCTGGATGGGAGCAGGGAGCTTACTGAAACTATGCTCGTGTGTATGGAGGAGATGCAACACCACTAAGAAGGGTTAACTTTACCCTTTTCTTCTCACAGCGTACAGCCGTTCCCGCACTTCGAGATACAGAGACCAGCACATATAATCTAAGACGAGAAAATAAGAAATAAACTTATAAGGTATTTCTCCCACTTCCCTAGCGTGCCTTCGTGGCGTAACGGTAGCACGCTGGGCCGGTATTCCAGAGGTCCGTGGTTCGATTCCCGGCGAAGACTTTGCTAATTTTTCATCTTTTCTGCTTCCAATTAACCTAATGACTGTACAAATGGCGCCCGAACTAAAATGGTTTTGGATGATGATTCTCCTCACCTAAGATTTGGCGACTAGGTCACCTAAAACCCTAGTCGCTCTTTAAAAAGGGGAGTATATAAGGTATTTCTCCCACTTCCCTAGAGTGCCTTCATGGTGTAACGGTAGCACGCTGGGCCGGTATACCAGAGGTCCGTGGTTCGATTTCCGGCGAAGGTGGTTGC